ATGATGTCGTTTGATATTCTTTTATATTTTGTATGCAGGACTTTACGGATAGTGTGTGGATTGATTATACTTGGGGTAAAAACAATATTGATTTTCTCTTTGACATGTGGCAGCTGGTTACTGCGCACAAGGTTTGATTCTTACTTGAATACGCTAAACTAGGGAGGGGAGTTTGTTTCCTCCCCTATGTCTGGTCCAACTTTACATGCTTAATGACAATTGGTTTTCTTCAAAATCACTCAGCTGGATTTTAAGGATGCCTTGAGGCAGGTCTTCGACAAAGGCAATACCATGTTTATTTTTTCATGCAGAGATGAGTTTGAACCGAATCTACGTTCCAAGGAAGAGCATGCAGGTTGGCTTTCTTCTCACATTTGTTACTTCATATCTCTAGCTAGCATTTTGGTTCTGCTCTTCGCTCAACTATTTTATAATATGCGCCTAATTCTTTAGTATGTTGGCTGTCCAGTATAAGCCCCACTTGGATCGCATTGTTGAGAAGGTAACCTTCTTTTTCTCAGATCAAGGTCTAATTGAATGTTTCTTCGCACGAAAGCAATCTGCATTTGCTTGTAGGCTCAAGAAGGACATGATGTTAATGAGTTGATCAAGGACACCGTTAAAAAAATTGTCAGTTCTGGCTTCTTTTTCCTTGCCAAGATGTTTGATGTGCCTCAGTTCTGGCTTCTTTTTTCTTGCCAAGATGTTTGATGTGCCTCAGTTCTCTCTGGCTTTTAATATGCACGTCTGTCGAAATCCGCTTTAATTTGCTGGTGATGTGGAAGCTAAATTCACTATATTTTCAGGTTAGGAAACCCAAGACATATTATGATTATGCGAAGAAGAAGCTGGGCATTGCTAAAGAAATCGGTTTGATCCCCCCTCAAGCGCCAACCCCGGCCGGCCAACCCTCTTCGATCCCCTGAAACAAAAATGCTCTTCGTCGCCCCTCGAGTTCACTGTCGTTTTTGAACCGGGCTGGTGGCGCTTTGCGCAGGGCATCCGTGGATGGTGAGCCATGGGGGTGATGTGGTGGCTGGCTGAAATCGATTGACCAACATGCTGCAACCGCTCCATCCATTTGTTGATAGATCTCAACAGACGACGACTTAATTTTCGCCTTGTTGATTTCTTGCAAACTAGCGACGGGCAGAAGCAGTGGTGGTGCCGGAGTTGAGTCAGTAGAACTAGTGCTAGGCTGAGAGGCCTGTCGTGGAGCTGTATTTCTAAATCTAGTAATGGGAGGAGATGGGATGTAGATATCGGCCTTCCTTTTTGGGATATACTCGCGATCTTCTCAAGGAGAAGTGGTTCTCGTGGTTTCGTTTGGGAGGTCATCGTAGTGACCATGTACAATTTTCAGAACAGCAGTGTAAGATCGAACACAATTGAGATAAATTCATATTCTGTTTTGGTAAGATGTAAACGAAATTTGGGTTAAACTTATGTTTTCCATTGAATCAAGGGGCCTTGGTATAGCACTTTAAACCCAGACTTTCTCAACAGTACATTATTAGTAGTTCGGTGTACTCTGCTTTTATACCCCTGATGATGATGACAGAAACAGAGTCACCCTGCAACAAACAGGGCAACTTCACACAAATTTATTCTTATTATCAGTGCTTGGCCACTTGATTGTTGGTCTCATGCTCGGCTGCACTTGACGGTCTACTGACCGGAAGGCGGGACAGGAAGCGGGTTGTTGTGCGCCGGCAGGCTGTTGACCATGAAGGCCTTCTCTTCTTCCACGGCTGAACGCCCTCCTGGCATGACCCCAACCCAAACAAACGAGAGTCAGAACCAGGGACAGGTTACAAGTCATGACATGACAGGAGAATGGAATGGTTTACAAATGGCAAGCAAACGGAGAAGTAAAGTATCGATAACACGATGTTGTGTGCAGAGTACATACTAAAATCATGAGAGATTGGTTGCAGCTATGGATTACCAATGGTGGAGGAGTGGCCATGGGGAGGGGCGTAAGTCGGTGGCTGCAGTCCGGCAGCAGATCCTCCTCCCCTAATGCTGCCGCCGCCGATGTACGCCTGGGCATGGCCGCCGACCATGAGCTGGGTGCAGACGAGCGCCAGAAGGACCAGAGCTGGGAATGCCTTGGACGTAGCCATCTCTCTTGGTCTCTGTTCTTTGCTTGGCTGCTCCGCTCTTCTCTGTGTCTGTCTGTGGTGTTGTGTTCTACGCAGACACAACTCGAGGTGTATAAATAGCAAGGAGGTTATCCTGGAGGGGCCTTGAATGTGTAGCACATGAAAGGAGGAATCAGTATCTTGTAGCTCTGCAGGCAAGGCACACCACCTAAGTGCATCTCCAGCCGCGCCCCCAAAACAGCCCCAGAAGCCTTTTTTTATTACCGGCGAGTAAAAATCCTCCCAGCCGCAATCCCAAAGTCATGTTTTTCGCCGGATCAGACGAAAAACATGGCCGGCGCTCGCGAAGGAAACTCAGCAAACCGGGATGCAGCTGGGGCGCCGGCGCTATATTTTAGCCGCGAAAGGCCCACTACCAGCCTCTAATCTCTCTCTCTCTCTCTCTTTCCTTTTTCTGGCTAGGCCCACCACGTGAGGCATGCAAAAAAAAAAAGACAACGCGGAGAAGCCGCAAGCGGCCGGCCCCGGCGCCCATCGCTGGCCCCGCGCCGCGCCTCCCCGGAGCAGCTTCACGCCGCCGGCCCCGCGCCGCGCCTCCCCGGAGAAGCTTCACGCCGCCGGCCCGGTC